TTCCAATTCTAGAATCTTGACAATCTTATTGAACTCGTAGTTTAACTTGTTATATTGACTCTTCTTCCTTTGTATTTCAGCTTCCAAATATGCGATCATTTCCTCTTTTTTTTCGTATTCATTTCTCATACCAATAGCATGTTTTTTATAGCGTGATTTTTGTTTTTAAATTCTTTAACCTTTTTCCTCTAATAAAATATACTCAGTATAGGAATGAGAAATATTAAATAAATAAATATATATTTACATATGATGTCTGTCATATCACTGTCATTCTTTATCTGCAAAAAAACCAATAAAATAATGTTAACATATTATAAATGAGTGTATCTAAAAACTGTAGGCATTGCACACTTACATAATAAAATAATTTGACAATAATAAGTAAAATAATTATCACCATGAAAAATATGCATGCAATTTTTTTCAAAAAACAGTTCCTAGGGTTGCGAGAGTCTTCAGGTTCTTGAATAGTTACAGGTGTTTTTTCAATTTCTGATTTGTTAGGTTCATTTTTGATAGCTATATTGTTGTATATTTGCAGGGGCTGTTGGGTTTAAATTTGTAGCTTGTATAGTTCGGTGCAATACTAGTAGGCAGCGCTCATAATCTTATTATCACTTTGACTCAATTCTACCAATTGATTACGAACAGCAGCTTTCTGTTTACAAAATAAAACTCTTTTTTCAACGATAGGATCCAGGATTCTGCAGTAATTTTTATATTCATATGGAAGAAATTTGACTTTTTTGTTTTGGATTTCTTTAACAGAAATGTGATTTTTTTTATACATGTTATTCTCAGGTTATAAGAAAATAGTCTCGCAACATGCGAGGATTTTTTGCTAATTTTTATATTCATGTAAGAAATATAAAATTTTAAAATAATCAATAATTTTTTATCAGATTCTCGATTTTCGATTTATAAAATTCCTCGATATGAATAGCTTAAAAAAGGCAAAAGTAATATAACATTAAAAACCATAAATACAAACCTGTTCAATACTGAATTTAGAAATTCAATCAAATTATGTAAATAAAATACACTGTAAAATAAAATTGCTAATTCAAAATATACCTGTGATATTTACGAACTTATCTTTTAATTTATATTTGTTATATGAATTTTTATCATATAAAGGCTGATTCATTTTTTGCAAGATTGCACGTTGTTTTTGATGAAAGATAAAATTCTTACTATTTCTTGCAAAAAAATGAACTTCGTACTATTTCTTACAAAAATCTTTATGATTGCTACTTTATTTGACTTTGTTGATATTAATTATTAGTAAAGAAAAGCCAGGTATGCTTCTATATTCATTTAGCTATAAGTATAATTTTGTTTAATAATAAAGTTCTTAACGAATAGATATCAAGACTCCATCAGAAGTGGTCATATATAAGAAGAATGAATCATTTGAAATTATCGAGTACGTTAAAATTTGTTATTGGTACCTAAGTAATTTCTTCAAATCGATATTTTATTTCGTTAAAGCACTTCTATCGCCAACGAAGGAAGCAATGGAAGCTGCCGAAGTTGTTAAAATATGCTTGAAAGATTTTTTTAGTTTTTTTTTGGTTGAGGCTTATAAATTTATAATGATTTGTTTAGAATTTGTTATAAAAATTATTATTCATTTTATGGGAAAGCTCATTAATTTTATTAAAAAGCAAGTTAGATCTAAGACTATGAAAATACTTTTTAAAGTATATTAGGCATAGCAATAGCTACAGAAAATAGAAGTAATCATCTTAATACTTTTTTCATTAACTTCATACAAATTCTATTTTTCTTATAAAAAATTTAACACTTAAATTGATAAGAAACGTCATAATAAAGTTCAAAAATATTGATATATACATTTTTTGCTTTTGTTTTTCAAAGATACTTGAGAAGTTTTTTATTATTCCTAAAAGTATGATTTTACATGATACAAAAAATTTTTTTAAATAACAAAAAATAAATCTTATTATATCACATGCTGAATTAATTTCATGAACTATGTAAATTTTATCAAGAGCATTTTTTAAAAGTCGATTATGCATTGAATTACTTTAATTAGGCTATTATTTGTAGTCGTTATCTATAAATTCGAACTAAACTTACTTTCTTGCACTTTTAAGATCCGATTTAGTTTATTGCATAATTCGTGAGTTTCTTGTTGACCAAATTTTTGAGATACTTGATCTTTAATTCTGACATTTTGATAATTTCATTGGTTAAATTGTCATTTTTTTTGATAGAAGGATCTTTTAAATAAATTGTATTCTTTACAAATTTTGTGAATGCAATAATATGGCCAAAATTCAAAATCACGTAAAATTTTACTTTTAATCTATCAATTTCTCTAAAATATATTTGATAAATTTGAACATGAAATTTACTTTGTTAAAAGTCAGTTGTAAAACTTTTTTTGCTGATATCGATCTCTAAAAATCTTAGTCACATAATATAATTAATTCAACTTTTCTATATTGACAATAAATAAACTAGCTACAATGTCAAAATTCATTCTAATAATTCTCTAGAAAATTTACTACCAATATCATAAACTAGTTATGCATGATATTTTAGTATTATAAAGCATCTAATCATATTCAAATCTGATAATACTGAGAAACCCTACTGCCAAGACCAGTCAATAAACTTCTTAATTCATTAGTGTCTTGTGATATTTTACTTTGCAAAAGTAATGCATAAACTTTAATAGATGAACTGCATAAGGGTCAGTCAATAGATTTGATATTTTTTACGGAATCTCATGTAGGATAAACTTTTCAGGCTTCTGAATCGCGTGTCTAATTACAATCATATCTGATACTGATTATATTGATATGGATTCATATACATAATATTGCTTAATTATACTTTATAATCCACAATCTTTTCTGGTGTGGAAAATCGCATGAAATTCTATTTTGCTTGTGTAATTTCCATAGGGGTCATAGCAATTGATTAAGAGATTATCTTTTTTGAATTATACAATATCGATATCAAATAAATTTTTGTATATTATGAAAATTTATAAATTCTATTGCTATGTATTTAAGCCAAATTTGGAACTAATATAAAAACTACTCTAATTTTAAGTTCAATTCCAGTTTTATATAATAGTAATGCCAAACTATAGACATTACATGAATTTCATCAATATATATTTAAAAAACCAGTTTTTTAAAATACTTTGATTTTTTTTAGGCTTCAGAATCACATATTTCAGTAAAAATATCATTATAAAGCATCTAATCACAGTCATATTTGATACTGATTAGGTAAGGATTTATATACATCATGTGCCTTTTTTTACTCTAAAAATTCGAGCTGTCAATAGGGTTATAGCAATTGACTACTGTAGTTTAAACAATCACGTGTAATTTTAGTATTCATAAACCATGGCTCAGCCGTTAAGTTAACTTATTATTTCAAGATTATTAATCTAAAAAGCTTGTTCTAACATGTATAATAACTTCAGAGTCGCATGATACCAATATCTCCATATCTCTAAAAACTGTGTGAACATTTCCTTTGGTTATTGCACAAAATTCAAAAAAAAGATCTATTAAAAGAAGAGGAATTCGATGGATGAACTGCATAAGAGGTCAATCAATAGACTTGTAGTTTAACGAAATCACGTGAAATATAAACTTTTCTAGCTTCAAAATTGCATGCTTAATTGTTTGCACAATGCTCTAAAAAGATCAAAATTTCAAACTGTCCATAGGTCATAGCAATTGATTAAGAGATTATTTTTTTGAAGTATACAACTTACAAATTCTATTACTATGTATTTAAGCCAAATTTGGAACCAGTATAAAAGCTATTCTAATTTTAGGTTTATGTAATAGAAATTAAATGATTTTTATAAATTTACTTCATCGATATATATTTAAACTGGTTTTTAAAAGAATTGGAAAACCAGATTACATATATTATGCGTATATAATAATAACAGATAATACAGTAACAATATTTCAAGATCTTAAAAACCTGTTTTATGCTAATCTAACATTAATATAAAAAAGTACTCCAATTAAAAGTTCAGCTATTGATTTTTATATAGCCAATCAGATGATCAGTGCAAATTTGACACGTTATTGTATATGATACGAATTTTATCTGTGATTGGCTAATTACGCGGCGTGACAGATGTGCATCTTGTGATTATTCAGATTAGGGTTGTGCTCACTCCAGAGCTACTCCGGAGTATGTCACTCTATTAACAACCCTATTCAGATCCAAATGTCTGGAAGTATAATATTCTAAGCTACGCTTTGGATAATAATAATTATGTAGTGTTAAGATACGCTAGACAAGAGATAATAGCAATTATTAGTAAAATAATAAGGTTGCATGTTGTGGTCAATTCTGAGAAATGAGAATAATAAAAGTCTAAGTTGCAAAATAAATTTAGTAAATTGGTATTTATTAATTTCATTTAAAACATATATCATTTTCAATCACGTTATAAAGATATGATAAAAATTTTCTTTCAAAAAAAGATTTATTATAATAGATTCTAAATATCAATACCACCAAATGTTCTGCGGATTTTTGTTTGTAGCAAAATGCTTTGAAGAATTTATATCTGATATTTTATTTGTATGCAAGCTACAAATATAGATCACGGTATATTATGGCTCTTGTTGTTAAAACTGCAAATCTTACGTTTTTGATACTTCTGCACTTGCTTTTTTGATACACCTAAATATACTCTAAAACTAACCAATAGAATTGTATGGTTTTATAATAAAATATTAATCAAAAGTATAAAAATTTTAGGGTATGTTAAAGTGCATCAAAAAAGTAAGTACGGGAGTATCAAAAATGTAAGTTTTGCATTAAAACTGATGTGATTTGATACCCACGTATGAGCTTGTAACGTAGAAAATAATGTAATTGAAAAGTCTATAACTTGCTTCTGCAAGGAGCATTCAAAGACATATTAATTTAGAATCACCACCTAATAAAAAGTTATTTATACTACAAAAACTATATACATAAAAAAGATATGTATAAAATATATAATGCTAAAGATATGTAGAAGACCATCAACTAGAAATTTATTGTTGTATTTTGTTTATTGATTTTTAGTTAATCTTAAAGGCTATTATTTGTTATAAAATAAATCGTAATTTTTTGACCAATCTTCTTGAAAACATATAAAAAGTCAATGTTATTTTCTATATTTAAATAGTCATAAAAAAAATAATAAAGAAACAATATATTAAATATAAGTGAAATAACAAAAAGCCACTTATAAATTTTGCAATAATCATAAACGTCGTTAATGCTTGTTTTCAGTTTGCTATTTGCTCTTGTTCAGGTTCGTTGATATCATTTTTGCTAACATCACTTATTTTTGATACATTTGTTGATTAACTAGACGAAAAATCTTTAAATGTAATTGTATCTATATAAAACTAAATATTAATTCTCTCTTATCATTACTATTTAATTATAAATTCTTACCTTGGGAAGAACCTAATTCATCCCCATTCGAAGAATCAAATGTCGACGAGGATGAAAGATTCAAATAATCAAAATAGTCTTGTTGATTTGTGGATAGAGGGATTCAATTTGAGCATATGACATTGCAAGAATCTGAAGCAAAGAATAAAAATTAAGTTATTTATTTGTTTTATTGTTGCTCTGAACTATTACAAGAGTCAGTTAATAAATTTATAGTTTTGACAAATCATGTGTAATTTTTGTATCTATAAATCATGACTCAGCTGTTGAGTCAACTTATTATAAAATACAATATATGAGCATTAGTAGCTAAATAATATTTCATCTAGCTGATGATAATGATATGATTTGAGTGTCCAGGGGACTGCGGTGTATAAATCTGCTCACTCTAAAAATATTTTTCTGTATTGTATTTGATTTTAAAAAATGATTAAAGTTATATTTTTCTTACAAAGACAATAGGAAAAAAATATTTTTAGAGTGAGAAAATTTATATACCAGTCCCCTGGACACTCTAGATGGGATCCGTTATATTGAATACTATATGGGTTCTTTCATAACAAATCGGGGCTTAGAGAGATTTTAACTGTAATTAAGATTCTTATTGGGTTATATTCCTAAATACATGCTTTATTCGTGGCAAAAACTTTGGTAAACATTAGCTTATTACAATTTTATACAGTCCTTGTACAGTAAAAAATGGTAATATGTCAATATATATAAAAGTTATTGATTAAACATTAATATTTACATATAAAATATTTGGCTCTAAGCCCCGATTTGCTGTGAAAAAACCCATATTTAATAGTAAATCTATTGAAATAGGTCTGGTATGGATTTATATTTATTACGTAGCTTTTCATAAAAATTGACTAACGCTAAGAAATAACAATAATAAATTATAATAATTAAATGATAATATAAATAATCTACGGGTTTCTTTAAATCTATAGATATTCATCAATTTATAATAATCTATAGACTATTTATATTATCTGTTCAATGTTTGGTTCACATCTCTACTAAGAGATTATCTTATTTGAATAATATACTGTAATATCGATATTAAAACTGTTCTTATTGTAATTCGACAGTATAAAATAAATTTTTTAATTTCAATAGTATCGTGTGATATTTTACCTATTTAAGGTATTGCATAAACTTCAGATCTATTCAACGGATGGTAGACTTGTAGTTTTGATAGAATCATATGTAACAATAAAAAAAATATCAATATCCCTAAAAAGCTAATTTTAAATAATCCAATATATGATACTGGTTATATTTGATATTGATTTATATACATCAGGTGTTTTCTTTAAGAATTATACGAGAAATTTTATTTTGTTCCTAAAAAAGATCAAAAATTCGAACTGTCCATAGTGTTTTAAATGCTGATCTCTCTGTAATTCCGAGTATTAAAAATCACTAACTTTATTTTTATGTATTAAAGCCAAGTTTTGTACTAAAACTCTAATACGTATATGTTCAATTCTGATTTTAAAAGTAATGCTATATAGTAATGTATATAAATTATCGTTATTATTATAGAAATTGAGTTAAAGTGTATATGTTACCCATGCAATTGATTTACATCATCCAATTAAACGAAAGCCTTTCTATTGTAGTTGATTCAATTTTTTTATTATAAAAAAATATATGTAATAGTCGTGTGAAAATAAATAATTCATGAATAGGTTAATTAAATTTTTTAATATTTTTTTAATTTAAAATAAATATTTATTGAAAAATTTTATTTATAAAGTCAAGATTAAATTACGAACTTAAAGATAGAAGAGAATGTCTCACCAATCTTTGCTCCAAAAAGCAAAAGTTTAACTTTCATTTAATAAAATTGTAAAAGGTGCACTCACATATCTTAAAGCTACCGAGGGCCTTCTTTTTCGTCAACATAGGCGCAAAGACATTTCTGAAGAAAAATATAAATTTCGAACAGATGAAATCAAATATTTCATAATTACAATCGAAAAATTGAATTCTAAAGCCAAGAACTTATATGATGAAATTAATAAATTGAGAAAAGAAAATGAAGAGTTGAAAAAAGAAAATAAAGATTTACATGAAGAAATAAATAATCTCAGTCAAAATTTCGATTTAATTCATTTAGATGAAAATAATGAGTTATTAGGAAGAAAAAAATAAGAGAAGATAAATGCATTATATAAAATTTGAAAAATATTAAATTTGTATAAAAATAAATATAAACTAGGTAAGGAAAGATGTTAGATTTAATTTTCTTTATGTATTATAAAGTATTTTATTTAATTATGTGAATCGTTAATTAAGATACTATTAACGCTGACCCTTCAAAGATTGTTGAGATTATTGAGATTGAGGCTGGCCCTTCGATGATTATTGCGACAAAATCAGCATTTGGAATATTGCTAATTTCAGAAATTTTAGCTAAAATTTCTTCTAATTTATCTCTAAGTGATATTTTAAGCTTTTTAGAAGTAAGTCAATCAATTAAAATGCAGATAGAATATCATTTTAAAGAATATCAAAATTTTTGGAGAAATTACTTTTTTAAACTTCGTAAAAGATTACCAATGCCAGAAATCAAACTTCTATATAATTATAAAAAATGTTTGCATTGCAAAAATGAATTAGTTGATCTCGTAATAATTTATGAATTAAAAATTAAAATTTGTAGGCAATGTATCCTCTTCACTTTAATTAGGTAATTAAAAAATGCATTTTATTTTTTAGGTTTTTTTTTCTTCACTAATTTAATTTACTTTAGCCGTAAAGAGTTTGAAGAAACTTGGTTACTTAATATTGTAGACTCATCTATTAAAGAAGCAGCAATTAAAGCAATTAAAGAAGCAGTAATTAAAGCAATTAAAGAAGCAATAATTAAAGCGATTCATTCAGTAGATTTTTATCAACTTCAAGGATTATATTTAAGTTTTGATTTACAGTATAGTTCTTTATTATCACATGTACTATTTTATTTTAGAAAAGATGCCGAAAGGTTTATAAAAGAATTTAATCAAATTCCTATTGATTCAGTAAATAACTTGTTAAAAGAGAAAGTAGATATCATTTATGACTGTCAAAAAAAAATTTTAAAGGCTAGAAATCCTTTGATTAATGATGATAATATGGAATCGATCTTAAGCAGAACTAGATTTTTTATTCCTCAAGAATATATACTTAGCGATAATTTAGATTCTATATTTTTTAATTTTGCATAAACGTCTGATTATTCTGAAAATTTTCTTAATGTAAATATTTTTCAAATTCAATTTTAATTCAATAATAAATTTTTTTTTTATACTTAAAAAATTGCATTTAGAGCCGTAGTTTTGGTTTACAAAATTGTAAGAAAACATTTATTTTATTTTAAATCGAAAAAATACGTGATTTTAAAGTTAAAAAAAATTGCACGTATCAGAATATTGATGTTAATTAGATCGACTTAATTTTCGTTTTTGATAATTATCATGAAGATTTATTTTTTTAACCATATTTATTATTAATAAATTTAGTAAATTGCTTCAATTTAATCTATTTATTTTATGTCATTATCAAGGCCATCTCTACATAATAAATCAGAGAGTTACGGTCTATGTTATACATAATATTATACTGCTGTTGTTACTAATTACCTCAATTTGTTCATATAACTAAGTAGACTTATTAAAAATCCCCAAAGAGAAGAGTAATTACTTAATACTTGTAAATGCCTCTATTTTATGGTTATTAAGATCTTTCATACTCTTTGGTTTACAAGGAGCACTTGTTAAAAAAAAATTTAAAAAGCTAAAATCCTTTTAATTAAGTTCGAATTTATTAGAATATTGATGCTAATACATTTCATTTAGAGAAAATATTCCAATAAATCTTGGTAAATTCTTCATTCTTTGGTTTACAAAATTTTAATAAATACATCATTCAAAATAAAACATTTGAAAATTTTATTAAATTAATATTCAAAACAATATATATACGCTTAAATAATCTTTATCTTAAAAAAAACGCTCTTATTAGATTATGTCATTATAGAGACATCTTTTTCTTTATCATCATTTAAGAGCAGAATGAACAAATATAAAGGCTTAGGGCAAGAAACGTACTGTAAATAAAATCAAAAGAATAAAATCAAAAAACCAATTTAAGAGAAAATGAAAAAAGTATAGTAAACTGAGAATGGCCCGGTGGGCTCACAATCTCGACCGGCCTGATAAGCTCACAATCAGAATTATAACAAAGCAATTAAAGATTTTTTATAAAAAAAAAAACAGAAGCTGCAGGTTTTTCTTTAGTACGATACATGGAGCGGCCAATATAGCAATCTTTATTTTTTCTCGAAAAAAGAAAAAGAAATATAACATTAGTAACACGTAATATTATTGTTAAAAACAATAAATCAAATTAAAATTACTTTCCTTTCGTACTTAGAAAGATTTGATTGCCAAAAAACACTATGTATAAATTGTCTGCATATTCAGTTCGAAAGCTAGCATAATCTGCAGAGATAATTATTGTAACGTAATGGTGAAATAACAGAAAGGACAGTATGACTTTTCAGACGCAAAAAGATTTGGTGAAAAAATAGAAACTGCAAATAAAAGTCTACTTTTCTAAATTTGCTTTATCACTTAGTTTTTCGGCATAAGAAAATTGGCAAGTTTTACCTGGACTAGCTTAAACTTCATAATTGTTCTAACATTAATTTTATATAAAACTCTTATCAGAATTTTAATTTTTCATCATTTAAGAGTGGTAAAATATTAATGTAGAATGGCCAATACAGCAATCCATTCCACATTGGTTGTAGAATAGTGAAATCTTATAACGGGAGCGGCCAATATAGCAATCCATCCCATATCAAAGCCATTCTACGTGCATACGAGTTGGATAGAATGGTCCAAATGACCATTCCATTTTCCTCAAAAAAAAAAAATGAAAAATCCATTAGTAACTGTATAATATTATCATTAAAAAAACAATAAATCAAATTAATTACTTTCCTTTCGCAAAATTTTGAACTAACAATCTCATTTTACCTTTAATTTTTTCTTAAATTCTACATTACATCAGATCTTTTAAACTTTATTGTTTTCTATGTAGTTTCCAGAAATATCACTTATTGTTGTAAAAAATTTATTAGATACGGTTTATAAAATAAAAAATTATTTAACTTCGCTTTGACATAAATCATACGCTGTGTCACTTGCAATTTGAAAAAAATGAACGAAGAAAGACTGTGAGTTTTTCACACTCATTGTTGTCATGAGAAAATCATTACAAATAAAAACTTAAATAATTTAGTTGTCTTGGTAAAATTGCATGTTTTTGTTGTCATAGAAGCATGTTTTGTTGTCATGGGAGCATTACACCAATCACAAATAAACCCAAAAAAATTTCGTTGTCTTGGTAAAATTGCACCAATTGAATAACAATTTTCACAAATAAAGCCTGTATAATCTTGTTGTTAGACAAGTAGAATCTGAAAATCAATAATCAAATAAAAAGCTTGCATAATTTCATTGTCTTGGTAAAATCATACCAATCACAAATAAAACAAACTTGAATAGTAAACTTGAATAGTAAGTTTCACAAAAAGGCTTGTATAATTTTGTTGTCTTGGGAAAATTGCACCAATTGAATTAGAAGTTTTACAAATAAAGCTTGTATAATCATGTCACAAATAAACTTCATAATCTAATGGGAAATCATACTAAAATAAAACTTGCACAATTGATATTAAGTTTCACAAGTAGAATTTGAATAATAGTTTGAAAGGGAAAAATAGGTTTTACAAATAAGATAAGACTTGTATAATTTTGTTGTCTTGGTAAAATTGCACTAATTGAATAAAAGTTTCACAAGTATATTTTTGTCACAAATAAACTTGCATAATCTCATTATCATAGGAAATCATACTAATTAAATAAAACTTGCATAATTTCATTGTCTTGGCAAAATTGCACTAATTGAATAATTTCAAGTAAGTTTTACAAATAAACTTGCATAATCTTACTATCATACCAATGAATTGTCTGGAAAATTGCATCATCACAAGTGAAACTTGCATAATTTTGTTGTCTTGGAAAAATTTTACCAATTGATAGTAAGTTTCACAAATAGAATTTGAATAAAGTTGAAAAAGTCGTACCAATGTTTAGTTGTCTTGGGAAAAACAGGTTTTACAAATAAGGCTTGCATAATTTCATTGTCTTGGTAATATTGCACCAATTGAATAAAAAGTTTTACAAGTATATTCTTGTCACAAATAAACTTGCATAATCTCATTATCATGGGAAATCATACTAATTAAATAAAACTTGCATAATTTTATTGTCTTGGCAAAATTGCACAAATTGAATAATTTCAAGTAAGTAAGTTTCACAAATAACTTGCATAATCTTACTATTATACCAATGAATTGTCTGGAAAATTGCATCATCACAAGTGAAACTTGCATAATTTTGTTGTCTTGGGAAAATTTCACCAATTGGTAGTAAGTTTCACAATTAGAATTTAAATAAAGTTGAAAATTTCGTACCAATGTTTAGTTGTCTTGGGAAAAACAGGTTTTACAAATAAGACTTGCATAATTTCATCGTCTTGGTAAAATTGCACCAATTGAATAAAAAGTTTTACAAGTATATTCTTGTCACAAATAAACTTGCATAATCTTATTATCATGGAAAATCATACTATTAAAATAAAACTTGCATAATTTTGTTGTCTTGGCAAAATTGCACCAATTAAATAATTTCAAGTAAGTTTCACAAATAAACTTGCATAATCTTACTATCATACTAATGAATTATCTGAAAAATTGCATCTTCACAAATAAAACTTGCAAAATTTCATTGTCTTGAGAAAATTTCACCAATTGATAGTAAGTTTAACATTTGAAAAAGTCGTACCAATGTTTCGTTGTCTTGGGAAATTGCATGATTTTGTTGTCATGGGAGCATTACACAACAATTACAAATAAAACTTAATTTCGTTATCTTGGTAAAATTGCACCAATTGAATAGCAAGTTTTACATTGAATAGTAAGTTTCACAAATTAAACTTGCATTTCGTTGTCTTGGTAAAATTGTATCACTTGTAAAATAATGTTCTTGGAAATATTTCACCAATTGACTAATTTAAAGTTTGTAAGTTTCACAAATAAACTGCATAATCTCATTATCATATAAAAAAATTAGCATAATTTTGTTGTCTTGGTAAAATTGTATCAATTGAATAATAATGGTAAAATTGCACCAAATAATAAGTTTTACAAATAAAGCTTGCATAATTTCATTATAAATAAAACTTGCATAATTTCGTTGTCTTGGCAAAATTGTGGGCATATTTCAACAATTGACTAATTTCAAGTTTGTAAGTTTCACAAATAAACTTGCATAATCTCATTAGAGAAAATAATTTCGTTGATTTGGAAAAAATGCACCAATCACAAATAAAACTTACTTGATTTCATAAACTTGAATAGTAAGTTTCAAAAAAGGCTTGCATAATTTCGTTGTCTTGGGAAAATTGCACCAATTGAATTATAAGTTTCACAAATAAAGCTTGTATAATCTTGACACAAATAAACTTGTATAATCTCATTATCATGGGAAATCTTACTAAAATAAAACTTGCATAATTTCGTTGTCTTGGCAAAATTGCACCAATTGAATAATTTCAAGTAAGTAAGTTTTACAAATAAACTTGTATAATCTTACTATCATACCAATGAATTGTCTGGAAAATTGCATCATCACAAATGAAACTTACATAATTTCATTGTCTCAGAAAAATTTCACCAATTGAATAATAAAGCTTGTTACAAATAAACTTGCATAATCTCATTATCATAGGAAATCATACTAATTAAAATAAAACTTGCATAATTTCAAGTAAGTAAGTTTCACAAATAAACTTGCATAATCTTACTATCATACTAATGAATTGTCTGGAAAATTGCATCATCACAAATGAAACTTGCATAATTTTGTTGTCTTGGAAAAATTACGCCAATCACAAATAAAACTTACATGATTTCATTGTCTTGTATAGTAAGTTTCTTGCATGATTTGGTTGTCATGGGAGCATTACACAACAATCACAAATAAAACTTAATTTTGTTAACTTGGTAAAATTGCACCAATTAAATAGTCATAGAAAAATTAGTAAGTTTCACAAATAAAGCCATAATTTCGTTGTCTTGGTAAAATTACACCAATTG